CGACCCTCCCTGCACCGTCCTGCTGCTCCAGGTGGACAGAGCCCCGCATTCTGCAGGCCCCACCCTGCCCACCGTTCCCCAGCTTTACTCCAAGCATCAGGGGCTGTGTCAGGGCACCAGCCGGATGCATGACTCCAGAGGAAAAGGATTTCAAAGCACTCTGGGTGCTGAGAGTGGCAAGGGAAAAGAAACCAGCTCCAGGCTGCAGCTCAGGGTCCCAGGTGGGCCACAGTGGACACTGTCTGCCCTGAAGACTGCCCTGGCCATGCACCTCCTGTCACACATGGCGCCAGAAGACTTCTCCCCTGGAAACACCCACGCCTCCCGCCTGCTCCTGACAGAGCTCGAGCTGGCAGCTGAAGCCTGCTCCCCCGCCATGCCCCAGTTCCCCTTCCCACTTCCCCATAGAGGCCTGGTGAGCTCCCTGCACCCCACGGTGGGGGTGGGTTATGTGGCTCTTGCAGGTCAAGGTGTGGGTGTGCTCTGGGTCATCGCAGGGACGCAGGGGCAGCCACGTGGTGGGGGACCAGCCTGTGCCAGTGTGTCCCTGTGCTCCAGTGTCGCGGCCCTGGGTGTCCTGTGTGCTCCGAGGACAGGCCCAGCCACGGGACAGGCACTGGCTCTGCCTTCCAGAAGGACTTTCCCGAGTCAGGCCGGCCAAGTATGCAGGGCAGTGGCTGCAGGAGGCAAGTGTCTGAGGCTGGTCAGTCCTCCCCTGGACCACAGGGACAGGAAAAAACAAGTTCAGAGGGGGGGTGGGGCAGAGGGGTGGAACCTGGCCACACAGTGGGGAGGGGTGCCCCCCTTTGTCTCAGAAAATCAGGGTGTATGGGTGAGGCTTTTTGGGCCACACAGGTTGAGACCAGCTGTGCTGGGCAAGGTGGGCCCAGCCCTGCCAAGGCCTCAGGGGAGCCCCCTCTGAGACCCGTGCCCATATCCACACCTGCCAGCCCTCTAACCCCAACTGTCCACTACACACACTCACACACACATGCACACTTACATGCACACATGCACACACAGACATGCACTCATATACACACATATACACTTACACATATACACACACGCTGTGGTAGTTCACTTTGTGTGTCAACTTGGCTGGGCCTGGTTGAGTGACTAGGCCTGGTTGAGTGGTGGGTGTTAGTTATTCCCCATGATGAGACTGGTAATCATCTCCATGGTGGGATCTATCACAAGCAGCTGAGTAGCTGCCTTAGGGATGTGGTCTGTTTCTGTACATAAGGAGAAGCCTTGGAGATAGTCTCTAGCTCATGGCACTCTTGGACCCTGCATGTAGCCAAGTCATTGTTCAGCAGCCTGCCATGCTCTGCTGACCTTGGGACTTTCGATGGACTTGAATCAATGGCCTGCCGTGTGGTTTGGTAACATTAGGACTGTGCCTTTTTACTTGTCAACCTTGGGCTTGTCAGCCTCAGCAGCCAGCAGCTGTGTGAGTGAAGAAAAGCCTCTATCTAGCTCCAGTGGGCCGGGAGCAGGAGGCAGAGCTGAAGCCCAAGGTTGAGGGGCTTTCACCCAGCCCCTAGAGCCTGGCACTCTGAACTCGGACTTAAAATGCCTCCAAACTGTAAGACAATAAACTCCTGTTTGTTCAAGCCATCCCACCTGTGGTATATTCTTGTCAGAGTGGCACTAGGGAACCAGAACAACATACGTACATATGCACACTCACATGTATACACATGCACATACACACATGCACACACAGACACACACTCATATACATACATACACACTTATGAATACACATAAATATGCACACTCACTTGTACATTCATGCGCACTTGTGTACACACACATGCACTTATGAATACACACATACATACACTCACATACACACTCGTGCACACATGTGCACAATCACACATACATGTTTATAGATACACAGACATGTACACACACTCATATACATGTACACTCATGCACACACTCATGGACACACACTTGCACTTATAGACACTCATGCACACACATGCACAATCACACATACACATAGATACATGCATACACACACTCACATACATGTACACTCAGGCACACACTCGTGGACACACAGTTTCACTTACACACACTCATGCACACACAGGCATGTACTCATGGACACACATACACATGTGCATAATCACATATACAGTTATAGATACACACGTATGCACATTCACACACATGTACACTCATGCACGCACACACTCGTGGACACACTTACACACACTCATGCAGACTCCTCCAGCCCTGAGGACTTCTCCAGCCTCCCATGCTGACTTCTCTGCACCCCCTGGGGCACCCTGCCAGCCTGTGGTGACCCAGGCCTTAGGGCCCAGCTCAGACACCTCCTTCATGATACCTCCCTGGGCATCTGGACTGTGACCCTTTGTCCCTGGGCCTGCTGGTGTAGCAAGAGAACAAGGGAGAAGGCCTGGGGCGCTAGGCCCCCTCCTCCTCCCAGCCTCCAACCCTCCATCCTCACACCTGAGCCTGCCGCAGAAGGGCCTGGAAAGGGGCTCACAGACCCTAGACCCTCCCCAGCCTCTGCTGAGCCCCTGGGTGGCCCAGGTGTGGGGGCTCTGGGGACGTCCTGGCCAGCTCTCCAGGGCAGAAGGCTGGAAGGCCACACCCACATTCCTCAACAGCTGCTGGGTCAACAACACGCCCACTGACTGCAGCCTGCGGCGCCATATGGCGCCATTTGGCCAGAGATGAGTCAGCCCCACCCAGCCCACCCCCAGGCCAGACACTAACTGGGACCAGGGAGAGGCTAAGGCCCAGGGGGAGGCCCCCTCTGCTCCCAGCTTGGGGAGGAGCAGGGAGAGACAGCCTGGAGCTTCAGGCCCCTTAGAACACTTCAAGAATGGCCAGCCTCCTGTCCTGGGCGCGTGTGTTCACACAGGCTGGAGGTGTCCAAGGGCAATGACTCATGGCCACCTCAGCTGGCTCCAGGGACGCCTGCCCTCCAGGTCACTCCTGGACTGGGGCCGAGACAAGGGCACTCCTGTCCTGGGGCGTGTGTTCACACAGGCTGGAGGTGTCCAAGGGCAATGACTCATGGCCACCTCGGCTGGCTCCAGGGACGCCTGCCCTCCAGGTCACTCCTGGACTGGGGCCGAGACAAGGGCACTCCAGGCCTGCGCGAGACAAGGGCACTCCAGGCCTGCGCAGGCTCCCGGCGAGCCCAAGCCAGGTCCAGGACAGGCGTGCCCGCAGCGAGTGGACATCACAGACCCACACACACCACGGGGGCACACGGAGGCATCAAGAGCACACTTGGGCACCAGATGGAGGGCTGGTCCAGCACCAGGGTACCACCTGGACCCATCTGTGAAGGGCTCAAGCACCCTTTCCCAGCCCTTGCTGTGGAAGCCCCCCACCCTCCATGTCTGCATTCCATGCCCCCCGTCCCCGTGGCCCCATCACCCTCCATGCTCACCCTCCGTGTTTCCCCTGAATGCACCCCCATCCCTGTGGCCCCATGACCCTCCATACTCCCCCTCTGTGTCCCCCCAGGTCCCTATGGCTCCAGCCCCCTCCATGTCCACCTTCCATGTCCCGTCCCGTGGCCCCACCACCCCTCCATGCTCACCCTCCGTGTTCCCCTCCATGCATCCCCGTCCCTGTGGCCTCATGACCCTCTGTGTTCCCCCTCTGTGTCCCCCAGGTCCCTATGGCCCCACCACCCTCCGTGTTCCCCCTTTGTGTCCCCCGTGTCCCCTGGTCCCCATGGCAGGCTGTCACCTGAGACCTGTCAGAAGGCCAAAGCCGACTTCAGAGCCTCTGTTCATCTTAGTCTCTGAAGGACAACCTTTAGAGGCACTTTTTGTCCCATTTTACAGCTGGGAAGACTGAGGCACAGTTCATGTCCAACCTGAGGTCCTGGGGAGGGGAGCTGTGTCTGCCCCATCAGACTGGGGCTCAACACAGCCTGCCTGCCTCCACCCTCCCCCTGCCCTCAGCCACTCACCCACCACAACCACCCCGCACCCTGAGCACTCAGGCAGCCTCTCTGACCGAGAGTTAGCTGTCAGGAGGGACTTCCAGAGATGGGGGCCTGGCTCCCTCCATCCAGGAAGCCAGGCTTCCTGAGCCTGCGCTAGGCAAGGCCGGGGACAACGTGGGGGGACGCAGGTGGGGCGGGGCCCCAGCCATGCAGCAGAGATGGGACAGGACAGGAAGAAGAGGGGGCGGAGGGCCTCACGCGCCAAAGGCTGCGCTGGCCAAAGCCCAGGCTGGTGCAGGAGGCTGCTGGGAAGAGGGCACCTGGGCTGTGGGCTAGTTTAGTGGGGACCGTGTCCATCCCGAAGACAAACGGGAAGAGCCACTTCCACGAGGGACCCCAAACCACACACACACACAACCAAAGCCACTGCAGGCAAGTGGATTCCCACTCCCAGTGACTCCATAGGACGGAGCAGAACTGCTCCACAGGGTTTCCAAGACGGCAAACATTTATGGAGGCAAACTGCCTCCTCCTTCTCCACGGAGCCGGAGCGCTGGTGGGTGCAAACTGCCCACCTTTCTGTGCGCTTCCGAGCGCTCTCGCCACTGTGCCACTGTGGCTCCGTATGAGGGTCCCCAGAAGGCGGGAACCTGGATCTTGCGCCTGGCAGCAGGGGTCTCCTGCAGGGGTGCCCCCAGGGAGGTGGTTATGGGCAGAGGCTGGCTTCTTGTCAGAGGCCCGGAGGCGGCCTGGGAAC